TATAAATAATTTAGGTCCCAAAACAGAACCCTGAGGCACTCCACATACAATGTCCAGCTCACTCGATTGGTATTCACCCAACTTCACAAATTGACGCCTCTGTGTCAAGTAACTTCTAATCCAATTCAAAACCAATCCCCTGATCCCATATTTTTCTAACTTATCCATTAATAACTCATGATTGATTGTGTCAAATGCTTTTTTTAGGTCAATAAATATTCCCATCGTGTATTTCCTCTCATCCATAGTACTTGTTATGTCCTCCATTAGGTCAGTAATGGCCAGAGATGTCGATCGGTTCGACCTAAAACCATATTGGCAATCAGAGAGGATTTTATGTCTATCAATAAATGTGTCTAATCTGTTATTAAAAAGAGTTTTTCCAAGATTTTTGAAAACTGTGACAACAGAGAAACCGGTTGAATTAGGTCCAGACTCTGTCCAGAGTCTGACACCAGATGCATTCTCACCTACTAGAAATACTCCCGTTTGGTTTATGTGAAGGGGGGAACCTGGTTAGAAAGCGCAGGAGGTGGGACATGACAAGGTCACGAGGTTTGTAATTTGGTCAAAAACTACTGAGTCCCTTGCTGTACCTTAAATCTGCCTAATGATTCTGGTGCCAATTCTTAACAGAAGTTCCTGAATCTCGTCATACATCTAGTTAGATATTTTTGTTGGCGTCTTCAATGTATAGTGACCATTTTTCTTAACCATAGGATGTGTGTATTCTTCCAGTTTCATGTCAGTCACATGACAGAGCATCATCAACATGTCCGCTAGCTCATTGTGAAAACTCTGGAGTATATGCAACTTTTTTCTTACATGGGCACACTCAGACATTACACGGACTTTGTACTAGCAAGCTGTTAGGGTAAAGTCCCCCCGACTCAGACATTTGTGTTCTCACATACAGCTCGTCCAGGTAATGTCTAGATAATTTCAGGGTCCCAGTGCATGTCTGAAAAGGCCTTATGTTTACACACTGTACTTGCTATGCTAATACTTATGTGATGATGCTTCCGTTCAACCAATCAGGGGCGACAGCTCTGCAAGCACCCACCCCCTCCCCATCGAGTACCTGGAAGTGATATAGTATCACCTCCAAAGGGGTGCTGAAATTTAGCTTCTGGAACTTGTCTCCAAAGCAGGAGGAGGACAGCGGACACAAAAGCAGAACGCCGAAAAAAGGGGCACGAATTCAGTTATGGGTCGTTAAGTTACTAAAGCAAAAAAGGCCTATTAGTTACTTTACTGTCAATATCTCCCCTATACTATACACTTTTAAGGCAATAAACAGTCAAACTGTGTTCATCTATACTGACTAAAGAATAGTGCGTACATGCAGACAAATACAGGCACAGTCTACATACTAGGGGTGTAACAAATAACCGATATGAATCAGAAAATCGATTTGAATTAAAACGATACGAATGCATCAGCAGACGGAGACCGAATCGGGCCAAATGTGCGCTGAATCGGTCGGCGGCCCGATTACAACGTTATAAATTGGTTTGATGTTGCTGCAAACAAATAAACACAGCGGCATCAGACACGTCAGTGCATGCCGGTTAGTTTTTTAGTTTTGCAGCCTTGTTCTGATGTAACCTGTGCGCCGGCCACGGTAATCTCGCGACAGCATGGCGGACTGAGAGCATTGAGAGTAACTGCGGCCGGCTGCATGGACGACGACATGGTCTACAACGCACTGCCAAGCTTAAAGTCAAAAGTATGGAGAAAATTTGGGTTTTATATAAAGAACGAAGCACTGGACAAAACTGTGGTGATATGTAAAGATTGTAAGTCCGCAATAAAGTACACCGGCAGTACGACTAATCTCAACACTCAGTGAGACGACATGGAGAATTTATGTGGCATCAGAAAGAGTTTTCAGCACTGCAGGAGACATTGTTTCCTCACAACGCAGTGTACTCCGAACTGACCATGTTGATCAACTGATTTTTCTTAAGAAGAATCTTGACAAGCAGACATGAACTTCTTGACTGTATGTAATGTAGGAAGGTTTGTAATAGTGTGTACATGTGTGAGTGTACCACGCATGTAGGAATGGATATTGTCTCAAAGAAAAACTAAAAATATATTACTTTGATAGTTGTTTTCTGTTTACACATAGTGAAATGCACTAGTGCAAGATTTCTTAACGTAGATGCATGTTAATTTACAAAAAAGCACTTTAAAAGACTGCACTTTTTCTATACAAGTGTTGACAGTTTGCCATTTCAACCTCAGTAACTTATTGCTCCTTGATCTGAGGCTGTACAGATTTAAAAAGTATCGTTTCCGAATCGCATCGTAGCCCCATGTATCGAAAATGTCACGTATCGTCATGTATTGGAGAGATGCACACCCCTACTACATACTACCACCTACTCACGCCTATGTATTCTATGGTGTTTTTGTTTTGTAAAAAATAACCACTGCCCCTCACTTTCTAGGGAAAGCCCTCAGGTCAGACTGAGCAAACCCCTTTAACAAAACGTGTGCATAACCTGTTAACACTGAAGCAACATGGACAGCACCATTTACAAATGCATCTTCTTGGTAGTAATGGAAAAAACACGATGCCTTGATGCCAATGACCGTTTCTTTATTTACACTGTAATGGGAATGAAGTCTATAGACACCGAGGACAAAAGCAAGAACAGAATGAATTTGAACTTCACTACATTCAATTTGTATGAACCAGTACACTGTTTTTAGTTTGTCAAGGCCCATGTCAAGACATGTCCTGTGTCTCCAGCTGTTCACTGTAGTGCTTCTACTTGAAATAATATTTTTGGGTTCTACTTTTTACTCTGGAAATACTAAACACATAACTGGAGAGCAGAGAGGCATTTTTAGGTGTAGGTTACTCTTTTCAGTCTTCACCTGGACAGAGAATTATAGCTAACAATCAAAGTTTGCAATGTAAAAGACAATCAGAGACATTCAGTGGCCACAGCCAAAACATTAGGGACACAGAATGTGATAATATATCATGTTGTAGAAACAAGGACACAAAATAATGTTACGTCTGTCAGTATATGGTACATGAACAATACAAACTAGTGAAAACTAAACCAGAATGCTAATCCATGTTTACTAAAAAAGGTTACTGCTGTGATCTCATGCTTTATTTTAAAATGGCCTTGGCCTGAAAGATGGGCTCCATAATATTCTAATCAGTAAACAAACATTTAGTCTAGAAGCTTTATTTAAGATCAACATTTTGTTTTTCCTCGGTTAAAGATGAAACTCTCACACATAAATGAGGTGAAACAGGCAATGGTCAATCTGAACTGCATGTCGACTGATCAGAAAGATCCCTCCCATTTCTATAGTTTCAAAAGAAGGGTGTAAAAACTCAGTAAATTTACATGACAAGATGAACATGACATCTGACACCTTTGCTCGTGCACACTTTGTCAAATTTTTAACAATTGCTGATCCAACCTAGGGGAAGCATTACATGCAACTAATCTCCTGCTAATATAAATACAACAGAACAAATTTTATGTAAGAAAGAAACTGCAATAGATATTAATCAAAATCATTGTCATTTCAAAGCTC